TTTATTTCCCACGAAGCTGTCCGTTTAAATTATTTTACGTCGCGGAGAAATATTTTCGCTATAATTTCCCGCGGATATATTTCCACGCTCGTTCGACGTAACTCGCGCTGTTCCCGCGACACAAAAGACCAATCGACTAACGCTACGATTGGCGGATTATCCCGTGGACGTATCGGTGACCAAACACGAGCATCGAGGCTACTATAACGTGTCATTGTAACGAAGACAGGCGTGCGTGTCGCGTTCCTTCGTTTCATAAAATCTGATCGTCATCGATGGCCCCTTCGTGTCGCGGACGCATTCGAACGGCACCGAGTGCTTTCACTTTCCGTCACGGCGACGCGTTCAGATACAGATCGCGGTCTGTTGACATCCATTGATCATGACATGAATAATGAATGGATACACCGACTGAATAATGCATGCATCAACGTCGAACAACATCCACTCGATGCCAGTGTATAACCGGTCGCGAGCATACCGATGGAAAACCTTGGCGAACATGGATCGTTCGCTATCGAGCTACCTTGCCAATCCAGTTGCCAGTTTGTCTCGGTATCCTTCGAGTGACACGCGTTTTCCTCCCTTCACCGCGTTTCTGTTCCCTTTTGTAACGAAGGTGGAGGACGAGAGGTTTTTCGGTGAAAAGAGCACTACGTTTTCTTAGCGAGACTTTATCATATGCGGGGGGCCAGATGCGGAAACCGGAAGGCTGACTTTTCGGGAAGGACCCGTGTCGTCGAAGAGGCGTACGCGAACTGATTCTTTTTCGCTGTTCGTTAGACGTCGAGGTGGTCCGCGCGTCCTGGAACCCTCGATGTCGCGAAGAAGTCGAAAATGTATACAAGGAACCTTCGTCTTCCGCATCTGGGATGTGCCCCTACAGCAATCTCACCCCGAAATCCTGCTCCGAAATTCGAAGGATATCGCGTAATTGATCGCCACCGTGTTCCGCCCCTGGTGGAGTACTAGTCGAATACCAAACGCTAGACAATGGTTGTTCCCGTTTTGTTTTCGTCGAATGGACGAAGACGCTTCGGGTCTCGAGCCGTCGTTCGGCGAGCAATAAACATTAGCTTCTTGCCCGGTTTACGAGGTCTCCGGCAGTGGACGAGTAGACAGGACTCGACAAGTTGCGCCGGATAGTTATAGCTGTTTGCGGTCCATCGAAGTCATAATTAGTTTTCCCCGGGCAGCCGTGGTCGACCGAGGCTGATGGACAGTTTTCGGGAGAATCGAGCGAGCGTTGGAAACACCGTTTAGTTAAGAAGTGCCCCTGCTCGCGTGGAACGTCGTTTATTTTACGGCTTTGTCGGGCTTCGGGATTGCGTTAGTGCCATCAAGACGCGGAATTTGATTAAGCGGAGCGTCGAGTTTTACGAGGAGCCTCTATCCCCGACACGGAGTGGTCGCGTTTTCAACGCCGAGAACGGTCGCTCCAATTTTTGGAATACTCCTCCTCGACGAATGAGGACGCAATACGGTAAATCTCTGCCCGAAATCGCTGGTTTTTAGACGTTTTCAGTAAGAAAGCAAAGGTTCTTCGCGCTTCGTTTAATCGATAGCCCCATTATCGAAGGTTTGAAGATTCGTCGGACAAAGGGAGAGCAGAGCCAGATCACGAATGCTATCCTTTGCTGTTGCAGGCTCGGTGAACGAGGCCGGTGTTTTCACCCTCCGTGGCAGACAGGAGGGCGGACGGCGTGCTAGAAGAACCACGACGAGCACCACCAGCACAACGGCGTCCAGCTCGACGTTGATTTCTCTGTCGGACGAGGTGGCGCAGCCTGCGGCCCTTTTAGCCCCCGAAGAGGACTTATGGTCTACCAGTTCTTCCGCTACAACCAATGTTCCAGTCTCCTTAGATACAGCTGCCGCTCCGTCAAAGCCACCCCTGGAACTGATGGTGGAACCTCACAGCAAGACCATACTGTCGTGCGAGCTAGAGGAAAATTACTCGTGGCTACTGTTGCCCGGGGCCAGGTAATTTAAGCTTCTTTATCGACGAACGGAACGCGCGCCAGCGGATACCACGAGATTCGTCGCTTTCCCGTATTACGTACACGGGTAAAGATAAATTTATATCGCGCGAAATGTTGCCCGCTTTATTCGCTTCCGTTCGCTCCAACGATTTCTTTCTCCACGGCTGGGAGAAAGTGATTTATTCCGCGTTAACGCCGCAACTACCGTGGGAGGTAAAAGTGACTTTCGGACATTTTATTTTATTCTCGCGATCGCTGAAAGCGAAAGATGCAGCTGCTTCTGCTCAAAATTGTACCGATTTTTGTTCGAACTAGGTCACGATTACTTATGCCCTTTTATTTTCTCTGTGTCGTATAAATTAATATTAATCGCGTGTACTGTATCTAGATATACGTTGCAGACCTCGGTGTAGTTTCAGTGTTAAAATTGCTGATTTAATTCATAGTTTTTTGGGATAAGTTACGTTCATTTCGAAGTATCGATTGGGAAAGAATAAAATAGCTAAAATTCATTTCGAGTAGAACGAAGAGGATTGTTTTGTTCGTGTAACTAAACGGGATTTGGGAAACGTCGATGGGTCGGGTCCAAATCTAACGCAGAAATCGAACGTTTGCATAAACGAATATTCGGATTCGCGTGTCCTAGATGTAACCGTGAACGCAACAGGACGTATTCGTCGTAATTGCCGACATGGTTCCGTCCGCGTAGCCGTCTCGCTGCAAATGGGAAGATTCGATTTAAAATAGTCGGGCGGAAGTAGTCGAAGTCGATGTTACTCCGACGCGACGAATTCGTGCCGGTATTGTCGTCCCGAATTAATTCCCTAATTGGCACGAATTGTCTTGTTAGGACCTACAGAATACGGCCAGTGACATGGTTGCACGAGGGAAGTCCGGTAGATATGATTACAATCAACACGAGAACGGAGGTGAGCGGGACTGGACATAGATACATCGGCGACTCTATCACAGCTGCGTTGCATATAGACAACGTGAGATTAGAAGACGACGGTATGTGGGGTTGTACGCTCGAGATCGACCAAGGGAAGATACTTTCCGGCAGGCTGGTGAAGCTCGTCGTTCTCGGTGAGTCACGATTATTAATATTAAACACGGTATAACGTTGTTAACGTTATCGACGAATATCGGCGAATATCGGTGCAACGACGCCACAGTGTTACCAGCGAGTGGTCTGGAATTTATTACCAGGGATTAGGGTCGATGCTGTTGATCGTTGAATTCACGACAATCGTGATAGATAGATTCTTCAAAATATCCACGACGAGACATATTCGAGTGATATTTTCCATCGCGGGAAACCCCGTTTCGAATCAACGTTAGACTCTTTTAGCGAGAAAACGAGGAATATCAAAATTCATATAGCCCGTTGTAGCAGAGTGGAATACAGAATGAAAAAGGGCGTATATACAGGGTGGGTCACCACATATTGCCATCTAGATATATGTCATTATTATTACGCACCGCGAAAAATGTTTCGGATGAAGTTGCATGCTTTTGAGAGAGGCATATTCCGATGGTACTAGTGTTTTTGTAGATGGACATGTAAAGATGATTAATATTTTTTTAAATGAAATCATATATTTTTAATTACATCAATTTATGTTTCTTCGTATTCTTTACAAAAAAGTATTGATCTATTTATGTTAAATCTAGATGTCAGTGTGTTGACCCACCCTGTATAAGTAGCGAGAGAGCTAAGGAAACGGAGGGTTATGAGAGCCGAGATAAAGAGCTTCAACGCGCGATGAAATGTAACAAGAAAGAACCGTTTTACCATTATCCGCGACCGACTCGCGAGAAAGCAGCTTACGAAGCCGATTAAGCGGAGCATCTACCTTCCTCTTCAAAAGCCACGCGTCACTTTCGTCGCGAACTCGATCCTTGTATTTCCACGAGACACCGCTGCGAGTCCCAGAAACGCGAGGATTTTATGCATATTAATCCGCGTCACTTGGACCAGGACGAGAGCATCACGCCGCATGAATATGCATCCGTCGTAAACATTTTTCCTTCTCCCTCTGTGCTCGTCGCCCTCTCCCGCTGTTCCGGCGTCCTTTTCCCGCGGCCGATGGACGAAAGGCGCGTACACGCGCGCGCGGAGAGGAACGATCGTTCCGCGAGGCGGCGGCCGCGTGACGCGCTTCGACCCTCTTCGCCTACCCGCTCGAATCGCGTTTCGAATGAACCCGCCGCCACGCGGGCCACTTTTGTTTTTAATATCTCGCCCGTTGCCGGCGCGAAGGACAGGCCTTCCTTTATTTCCTGCTACTCGCTAGACGCGTCCCAACCCCGGCGTTGCTCTTTTCAGCCTGGCCGTCGCGCCACTCCGAACCCCGTTTATTTGTCATCCGTGCACCCTCGCGGCGATGTTTAATTTCGCGCGCCGCGCCGCTCTGCTCCGCTCCCCGAGCAGCCTGGAATGCCAGCGTCGCGTTGCGAGGATTTCGCGCGAGCCGACGAGATTTCGGCTCTGTCGGGATCCATTTTATCCGGCTGTTCGAAAGGATTCTCACCGGTCTCGTAGAAAATTCTTGCGTCGTCGCTCGTTTCGTTTTAATCTCCCCGACGACCCGAGGACGAAGCTCCGACCGTGCGAGATCGAAATCGCGTTAGACCGGGAATTTTCAGGCGGAATATTCGAAGCCGACAAACAAACCGCGAACAAAGGCAGATCGGAATAGGTGGGCGCAACGCGGGATCAAAAGACGAAGGATAACGGGCTCGTACGCGCTCGTCGAGCCATAATCATCGATTCCGTCTTCCGGAAATTCCAGCGACTCATCGTTCGCGTAGCCCGGGGTGGAAAGGAGTAAAAGAGCCTGGAAGACGCTGGCTGAAAACGGTAACGTCGTTCTGCGTTTGATGGGAATAGATTTGCTTAGCGCCCTCGGGCTCCCCGTCGGCGAATCCGCGGCCGAAGAAAAGTTAAGAATAATGCGCGTTTTATGCGGCTGCTGCGCCGAATTCTCCGTATTTCGGTCGACAAATAGACAGGGAAACGTCGCCGAGAATCCCGGAATCGAGCACGCGTTTCCGATAGCCCGATCTCGCCGTCGATGGTATTCCCGGTCTCGAATTCGTTTAGCCGCGCTCGATAACACTCCCCTTGTTTTCGCATTCCTCGCGCCGGTTAAGTGGCCGGAATCGCGATAAAACGGACGTCTGAGTTTCGCGCCAGGAGAATCGCTCCTCTCCCGGTTTTTCTTGCCTCGATCTCTCGATCTTCCTTACTTTCGACACGCTCGTTGGACACCTGCGCGCGGCTCGCTGCTCCTCCCGTCGACGTTCGAGTCTTCGACTTTTTCCCTCTATCCCTCGTCCCGACCGAAATTCAATTTACCAGCTTGTTCCTCAGCCAGGACAGTCGAGAAGGAGCACGCGTGTACGGCTCTCGTGTTGCGGCAAACGTCTGATCGTGACAACGGGCAGACCATTGCCGCTTAACGGTACTTGTTCCAATCGCAATCTTTCCATCCCCTCGACTTCCCTTTTAACCTCGCGCCAGACCACCCCTTCTTCCTCTTCAACCCTTGCCATCAGTGCCTTCCGTTTCATCCGCCGACCGGTCCATAAGACTGACGAGGCTGGTATAAGGTACAGAGAGAAATCTTGTTGTCCGACGCGAACGCGGGGCATTCCACTGTCCGACCAATATCGGGGCTTTCTCCTTTATCAGAGCAGACCGGCCCGATACCGCTCGCTCGGCCCGCCGCCGCGCCGGTCAAACTCCATCGTGGAAACCACGCGAACGAAATTCGTGGCATTCCGCTTTCCTTCCGCCCTCTATCCCGCCGCAACGCGCCGGCACTCGCGGCGATATTGTTTTTCTCTCTCTCCGTCTCTCTATCTCTCGGCGCGCGCGCTCGCGCGCACGGCCAGCGCTCGACTTTCTAAGCTTTGCATGATAATGGCCCCGATTCGCGTGGACGTCGACGGAACCGCTACCTTATATTTCCATCCGGTTCCGAGGCTCTTTCTTTGTGGAATCTCGCGAGACGAGCCGACGACAATAAAACGCCGATCGAGTGGATGATATTCCGCGCACAAAGCTGCCGTTATTTAAACTTTCGTAAAAGGAGAGATGGCCGAGAGATCGGCATCCGAGACGCATTCCTCGACATGGCGGATCGGCATGTCGTCTGTTTCGAATTAGGAACTGCTTCTTTGACGATTTCTACCCCTTTTATTTTTGTCCTTTATTTTCATTTTCGAGGAAACGTGTCCAGGTAAAAATGACACCTGTCCGACGGACGTCCGTTTGAACGTTATCTCAAGGGACGATTAGGGTTAAACGAGGTCCGAGGACTCTGAAGGATCGTGGCACAATTTGAATTCGTTTGGAGCGAAGATGAAACGCGATTGCGCTCCGCTCTTTGCATAATCCTCTTGTGATGCATTAGCGTTAACAACGTCAATTTCATTAAACGATAAACATCGTTAAAAGAGAGGGCTCGTTAATAAAGGTAAGTAGTGGACAGCGCGAGTTAATCCCCTCTACGATGATTTCCACGCACAAAGACTGTTGCTCGGTACTTCCGACCAAACGAATCTCGATTAGCGTTTCCTCGGAAGCTAATTAATATTCGCAAAGACTTTTTCGCGGGCAGGCAAAGGCACCGATAAATTCGCATCGAATCGGAAAGTATAAAGATCCGCGCTCGTCTTAGGGATTAATTAAACGCGGTTGCGACTCGTTAACCAACCTATTCGTCTGCCGCATTGTCCGACCGTTTAGAAGTTTATTACGCGACGACGAGGACTCGGCGGTGCTATTTAGCCGGTCCTCTGGACGTAAAATCTAATTAGGCGACGGCGGCAGTGTCTCGGGGTCGGCGGCGACGAATTTCGAAAGATAAAAGTATTGTTTCGGTCGTAAACCGAGCAGAGGAGGGCTTCTTTTTCGTTCTGCCGCTTGTTCCCGGTGCGTCGGGACAAAAGCTAAAGTTTGCACGGTGGAGCGGGCCGGGGGGCTGGTTCATTGTTTCCACCGTTGTCACCGCTCGAAAGCGGAAGCCGCGGAAGCGCGACGGAGGAACGTGCCGGTGTCACCGAGACGTTTACACGGTGTATTTATAACGGACTGGAAAGTATAGCAGTCAGATACGGAGGCAGCGCCGCGGATAGGAGCGCGCTCATTGTCGTGCCGCGAATTTTCGGATGCCTCGGACCCCGCCATTGTTCCCCGGTTAATCGCGCGCTGTTAGCGTGATTGCGCTTTTCCTTCGAGAGCAGACTCTCTCCAGTTTGTTCTCTTGTCCGTTCGTTACACTCGCAGCATCGGATATTAGGCAGGCGATGGAATGAAAAGGTTCTACTTTGTTCCTGGGTTAATTCCAAATTCCCTTTCGTGCCAGACCATGGACTTCCGCTACCATTTTGGCCTGGTACTTTGGCTATCATCGTTTCGCCTTTCCCCGTGATTTATTTTGCCAAGAAATATTCGCAATTTCTCCTCGAAAGTGGAAATTTTTAACGGGGCGTTTGACAAACGTGTTTACCCGCCATGTCCGACTTGTTCGCGGTCGTACTACTGAGAAGATCCAATCGCGTAGTCCCGACTGCTCCAAACGTCTTTCATCGCGCGAACACCGCGAGAATATCGTTCGTCGTGGGACATAGATCGAGTATCCTGTTAATTCGGTCAGAAATAAGTAGACGTGAATCGTCAATTAAGGGACGAATATCGACGCTTGTACTGCCGGGTTTACCTTAATATATCGTCTTGTTCGCGGCGCCTTGCGCATACCTGTCCCGGGATCGTACACGCACTTAGACAATCGTCGTTCCGGACCAGTGGGACAAGGGCATTAATGCAGGTGGTGTAAATTAGCGCATCAAAGCCCAGCACTATACTACCACGTCGCCCAGTGATTATTGATGCGAGCCAACCATTGGCCACTAACTACCCATTGATTAGCTGAAGGTTTCCGCGTAATTAATGGAACATTCTCCAGCACCAATGGCCACGATCGATCGCTTACAATCTCTGTCTTCCCCATGATTTTCCATACTTCCAGTTTCTTCTTAGCAACGCCGATCTTTGTCGCGATCAAAAATATTATTCT